CGATTTTATGGCAACGAAGGACGTGTATACCAGATAATTCCAGTGAAGAGTGATTGTATAGTTCCGAGTCTGGTGATGTAACGGACCGCGTGGCCAATTTCAAAGGCCCCTCCAATTGTTGTTGATTACATCGTGAGCGCCATTTGAACGACAGTTGAAGCAGTTCATCTAGTCACATCCGTTGTACAATCATGTTAAGAAACCCACCAGGTTTGAAACCAACCAAATTTCGTCAACTTTGGATCTAGTACTGGCAAATGAAGAATTGATGGTCGAATCAATTGCAATCGCAACTCCGTTTGGGCGTAGTGATCACGCTGTATTATTGTATGAATACGTTTGCTGTGCATCAGTGATAACAGCTTCTTCAGATCGCTTTCGTAGCACAACTGATTATGCAGGACTAAACAACCGGGCTCATGGAATCCAGTGGATCTCCCCTGATATAGACTGCAATCCCCTGGAATCCTGGAGAAAATTTACTAAAAGTATCACAACATTAGTGGCTGCTATTAAAACCGTCAAGCGTCGATGCCAACCGACTGTCCAAAAATCAGCAAATCGCAGTCGAACTACGAAATGTTTAATGCAAAAGGATTTTCACTGGAGGGGGTTCAAACGCTGTCCATGACCCAGCACTTGAAAAGCTTACAGGCTCCTTCGAAATCACTGTACAAATTTGGTGCGGGAAGACAAGTACAATCATCATGATATGCTGGCGAGGAACTTTATTGCAAACCCTAAGCTACCATATAAGCATGTAAACGCTTCCCGGAAAGTCATACACGGCGTTCCAATACTAAACTTAGCAGGACGTGTTTCAGCGACAACAAAGAAGGCTGCAGAAATGCTTAGGCTGCGGTACTCTCAAGTGGTCAATGCGCCCAGTAACACTGGGTTCATACTTCCCCGTCTGCTGGAATATATTCCTTACCATTACTGACAAACGTTATCTTTTCTCCCTAAAGGATAAAGGCAAAGCTCCTGGCTTTGAAGAAGAATTCGTCACCGGGTTTAGATAACATTCATTTACAAGCCATTATCACCCTAATTGAGCTATACCAAAAACTGTTCGAAGATACCGTGCATCCTCAGGTGTAGAAAAACGGTGTCATTTCACCAATTTACAAAGGTGGATGCCGTAGTGACCCAGACCTGTCACTTTCCTTCCAGTGTTGTCCAAAGTCATGGAATCTATTGTTGCGATTCGGTAATGGATCATCTGGAGAAAAATGACTTACTATCCCCAGCCCAGCAAGGGTTTCGAAAAAGTCGCTCATGTGCAACTAATTTGATTTTGGCTCGGGACGATTGGACTTACGCTGTAGATCAAGGCAAAGGGATAGATGTTATTTACCTGGACTTCTCTAAAGCATTTGAAAGAGTAAATCATCAAATACCGATACGGAAGCTGTATAACTATGGAATCCGTGGACTCGTACTTGGCTGGATCGAGGAGTTTCTTCGCCTACGTACCATGTCAGTTTGTGTTTTCGATTTACTTTCTGATCCAATAGATGTCAACCGTGGGGTTCCACAGGGATCCGTACTAGGCCCACGTCTTTTCCTTGCCTTTAGTAATGATCTTCCAGACCTCCTCGGACCACAAACTATACTGTTTGCAGACGATACCAAAATATGGAGGACAATAACAAAACCAGAAGATTCATTTGATCTCCAGGACGCCCTTGACGAAGCCCACAAATGGTCTGTCTCCAATAATATGGAATTCAGCGTTGCCAAATGTAAAGTTTTATCACTACTTCACAGTGGTCTTTATTCCTACACTCTCGGACACGAAACTTTGCCTCATGCTGCATCCGAGAAAGATCTAGGAGTAGTCATCCGCGCAGATTTGAGTTGCTCCACAAACTGTTCCCGGGCATCATCCATGGCGGTAAAACAGGTTGTTCTGCCGAAACGTGTTTTTGGCTCGTATGAGCCGGCTTTGTTTCCACGTCTGTTAGCCACATATATCCGTCCGTACACCGAGTACTCAATTCAGGCTTGGAACCCATGGCTGCGGTGAGATCGGAAGGCACTTGAACATCCACAGAGAATGGCTACCAAGATGGTCAAAGGTTTACATTCCAAAACCTATGGCGAAAGATTACAGCTACTGGGGCTATACTCGTCTCAGTATCGTCAAATCAGAGGCGATATTATCTTA